GGAACGACCTGTGTATTTTCCACGCTAATACTGTTGTTCTTCGCCTGGACCCGGCCTTTTTGCCAAAGGTGAACTCATATTTCCATCGTGCTCAGGAATTAATCCTTCCTGACTTCTGTCCGTCGCCCAAACACCAACGTGAGAAGGACTGGCACACCCTTGACGTGCGCAGGGCCCTACGGCGTTATATTCGCAGGACTGAGTCGTTCCGGAAAACGGAAGCCCTTTTGATATCTTTCCATCCAAGATCCTTGGGCCAAAAAATATGTCCATCGACCGTGGGCAGGTGGATTAAGGCGTGCATCTCCACTGCTTATGAACGCCAGGCCAGGCAGGTCCCAGCTGGGATCTTGCCTCACTCTACTCGTAGTGCGGCAACATCAGCTGCTTGGGCCACTCAGGCATCTGTTTCTGACATCTGCCGGGCTGCTACCTGGTCCTCGGTGACTCCTTTTATCAGACACTATAGGGTGGATTCATTTGCCTTGGCTGAGGCTTCCTTTGGCCGTCGTGTCCTGCAGAGTGTTCTGGTGACGCAGGACTCTGGGGGCCTTTAGTTTCCCACCCTTGTTTTTTTCTGGGCTTGGGTATATCCCAGCAATGGACTGCAGGAGCAGTACTCAGGAAAACGAACATTGTCTTACCTGAATGTTCCTTTTCGGAGTACTGCGACTGCAGTCCATCCCCTCCCTTGTTTTTGTCTTTTATTCTGTTATTGGATTCTGGTGTTGTGCGGATCTGCACTTGTTATTGTCGTAGATCTGTTGATTTCTTGGACTATGCTAGGTGGTCGCGCCTTCGTTCAAAGACTGGTGCATTGTGGGTGCAGGGGGCGTGGCCACAGGACGAAGAGAGAGATATTCTTTAAAGATCACCCAGTCAAAAGGAACTGAAGATGAAGAAACCCAGCAATGGACTGCAGTCGCAGTATTCCGAAAAGGAACATTCAGGTAAGACAATGTTCGTTCTGGGAGTTGAAGTCCACAAGTCATAAAGGGACCATCATTCCCCACCTCTGCCCTAGGGGCTGACAAAATTATACTTGTGGGTGGAGAATGTCTCTCTCTCAACCTAACAAGTGTCAAGCAAGAAAGGCGCTGAATTATTTCAAAATACTTATAGGCTGTTTCTGAGGACCACAAGAGTGGGAGGGAAAGGAGACATATCATCCCAAGATTAATGGCTAACAATGAATATTGGCTTTTTTTTTTTATCATGATTCAGTCTAGAAATGAGGAAGATGAATAATGATGCCTTTGCACTCAAAAGTTGAAGAGAGAACGCCTCCAGCCATTTTCCAAAGCAACTCAAACCTCTTGCTTTAAACTTTTCTTAAAATAAGAAAACATGTGAATAAATCCAGATTTAATTTCTGTTAGAATAAAAAGAAATCAGGAACAGATTCATCTGTGTGTTATGTTGTGTCCCACTTCCCCCCCTCTTCTGTTATGAAGTATTAATAGAACAAAATCTGTACTTTAAAATTTATACAGCTCATTACTTGTCATTCACACGCTCTTGCCCTGTGAAGAGTTATACCAGATTTTAGAATTATACTATGGTTTTTATGTACAAAAAATATGATCCAGTTAAGACAAGGTGATTATATCAAAAATTCTCCATATTGATTAAAATTCTTTGTTTTTCGCTCCTTATTAGTGACTTTCTATGAAGTATCAATTGTGTTACAAGCCTTTATTCTCACAACAACTGTGTTTTTGGCCCTTACTGTGTACACATTGCAATCCAAACGGGATTTCAGCAAAACTGGAGCAGGGTAAGCTAGTTTCTGTTACATACATTGGCATTTGGGCATTCTGAGTGACCCTGTCCTACTGGAATAATAGTCAGTGATGACAGCTTCTTTTAAGATTTGTTGATATGTTGTTATTGCAGCAAAAGAAGTAAGGCAGAGGATTTACAAGTGTGTCTTATGAATAAGTAAAAGAGAAATGGCTGATAATTATTTCAATATGTGATTTTGTACTTAATAATGTATACAAAATATGTGTATCTGCATTTTTAGAGAACTAAGTTAAAAGCATATTACAAATAAGATATTTCTGTGCCTTCTTTTATCAGGCTCTTTACTTGCTTGTGGATTCTTCTCCTGACAAGCATTTTAAAGGTAAGAGAATATTTATTTTTGATAATTAAAATTTTGGAGGTCTTCATAGGATGCTAACTATTTTAAATAGATTTAATTATTAGGAGCTAACTCCCATTTTAAAATCTTGGTTTTTTTAAACTGATAATTGTGTTTTTTTTCAATGCAAGTCATATATGTGCATTTGGGGATTATGAGCATGTAGCTTATTAATGAAAACGGGGGTGAAGTCGAAATTAGTTTTTAAGAGTTTTTAAATAAATGCATACTGTTAAGATCAAATTTAAACTGCTTTATCTTTTAATTTTTTTGCTCTACAACTTGAAGAATCTCAACATTACACTCTCAAAAATAACATCCTGATTCAAATAATTTTACATAAAAATAATTATTATTCTATAGAAATCAGATAGATGCCAATATTTATAATTCAGAGGCCTTCTTTTAATATTCGATTATAGGGTTTTGATAGCTAAAATAAAGGACCTTTCCTCATTTTGAGGCTGCCCAGTCCAGGCATAGGGAATGATGATCAGCAGATATCATGATTTGCAAATCTTTCTTTAGCCATAGATACTGCAGTTCAGATATACATTCATTAATCCCGAGTCAGTTTGATAATCTGCTGTGCAGGTGCCCACTTCCAATCATTTGTGGCTGTTCCTAAATCTGTGTCTAATGAACAGAGGATATGATTGCAATCCTCTACAAACTTCCCTCGAGAAAGCAACATTGAATAAATATATAAAAATTATGCTGGAAATGGTCCCAGCAGCTGGGAGATTGTCGTATGTCCATGTAACTTTGCAGGTATGGTTCACAGTAAAATGGGAAAACAACTGTATGCTAATACAATTTAATCAGATGGAGTACATTTTGCTAGAGGTGAAGGTGACACAAAACATACTAAGTTATAATTTAATAATAACATTGTAAATCTCTGAAAGAAGAGTGGGAAAAGCTTTTAGATTTCTTCAGAGTGCAGAATCCAGGTGGTCTAATACAATTTCTTGAAGAGTTCGTTAAAGTATTTTTCAGATTGACTATTGTGTTAGCAATACTATAGTGAGAAAACACCCAATTATTCTTTAAAAGAATTGCAGCATGAGAAGCCCTATAGAAAAACAATATTCTCAATGTGGTTGATTTTATTCATCCAAAGTGATGCCCATGCACATTAAATTGAGAAAATGCAGTTGCACTGAAATTTAAAGATTTATCTAATTTGAACTGAAGTTAGATCTGTTGCTTTAGGAAACCACTGACAATCATAGAATATGACAAGATCTTACTTTGTTGGTAACAGGGGAAGTCTTAAAGTCACAGGAATGACCTCTATAATATAGAAAATATTAATTGTACTCAACTTCTCCATTAAAAACATTTTTAAAGTTTAAATTATAATACTATTATAGATAACTGTAATTTTTAATATGCTTTTATATTAAAAATACACTAAAACTGCATTTATCTGCTCCTTGTTTCTAGTTATTTTTCAATAATGAAGTAGTAGAGCTGGTAATTGCTGCTGCAGGAGCACTTCTGTTCTGTGGATTTATCATCTACGACACTCATCTATTAATGCACAAACTCTCTCCGGAAGAATATATACTGGCTGCAATCAATCTTTATTTGGACATCATCAATCTGTTTTTGCACCTGCTCCGTTTGCTAGAAGCATTTAATAAAAAGTAATTGGGAGTTTTAATTCAAATTTAAGATAATTTATATGCAGTATCTAAAGAGTTAATTAAGACCTAAAAAATCTGCAGTCTACTTTGAGACTGAAGCTTGGTTTTACATTCTCTACTGGCTTCAGTGTTTTCTGTATAAACTGTTTTAGAGAGCTGAGTCTTACTGAATCTATTCTGAGATCAGTTAATTATATATTGCAGACATCTTGGCTGTTTGGCAAAGGCTTATTCCATCTATTTGCATATTATTAGTATTGATTGAAAGACTTGCTCATCAACTCATTTGTGCCAATAAGTACGATTAAAATTCTATTTTATTCCTGCAGTAATTGCCACAGATGTTTCCTTTGAGAGTCACAGTTGTTTCTGGTTGAATAGCAGAAGTCTCCTTGATTTCACTATTGAACACTGAAACTTTAAATAAGCTAAAATTCTATTATCTTCTTTTACAAAAAAACTTTGAGCATTTTTATTTGAAGAACTGATCATCATAATTTTGCTTTTTCTAATAAATATCTGTACTTCCAAGTATGTTTATTTGGGGAAAAAATAATCTTTTATAGGAAGGATTCCAAAGATGGATCATATGGTAAAATAAACATAAAAAGAATTGGCTGGCAGTAGTCTTTCTCTATTCTGAAATTTTAGAAAGTTCAGAAATACCATATCATGCTTTCTCTAGAACCTTTTTAGAATGTGGAAAGAGTTTGAAACTTGTTTGAGTCCATTCTTAGGACCTTTTCACTATTGGTTGTAAGAGGTGAAATATTTTTATGCAGAAGAATATTTATTAATGGCCCTTCAACTGAAGTAATAGCAAAGTTAGTTAAATTTCATCTGCTATTCCGGCTGGTGATTAGAAACTTATAAAAATAATACATTTTAATAAAACGTTCATTATGTGATCCCTTTTCTGTTTCTTTGCCTTCTATTGTTAAGACTATTAGATAATTTTGTCACTGTTAAGCAGAAAGCTATATTATATAAGAGTGCAATCTCAGAGATCTCTGTTGACTGATATTTTTCTTGTCAGTGTCACCCCATTTTATTTTTATAATTTCAGCCTGTTATTAAAAGTAATTCCAAAGTTAAAAGTTGTTTCAAGTATTTATTCAAAATCTGTATTCAGAGTTCAACTTTTAATTATAGAGTCACAGTTCATAATGTTACAGGAGAAATGACGGAACTAGGCCAAGCTCTTCAATGCAGGAAAGAGTTTATTGCGCAAGGTTCAAACAGCCCAAAGACAGCGAAGGATCTGAACAATGATGGCTGCTTTTGGCCCGATATTTATACAGTATAAAGGCAAAGTTATTACGAAGAGTGAGACATTTCACATGTAGAGGTTACCCTTTAATCTATCTCTAGGAAAGACATAACAGCCCTTTTCCCACAGGCTCAGGTTCTCAGCTCCGGAGCTCAAGACATAATAAAGAGGAGATAAGGGGCTCAAAGGCACCTCAAGAGCAGTAAAGAGGACAGTAAGGGAAGCAGTATTTCTTCTCTAAGATATACATGACATTTGGGGTGTAATAAACATTAAACAACAGGATGTATCTGTTTAGGGTCAGTTTGCCCTTTTACAATTCTGTACCTACGTCAAATACCGTCTGCTATCTCAGCACCTTGGCACGGAAGAGGCACTTCTGTCTTGACCAAAGATTTGGATTTCTAATATTTGAGTTTTATCCCAATATCGAATCCTAGCCTGGCTCATACCCCCCTTTGTGACTCATCTATTTTATCCAGACGAGTCACACCTATAGGTCCTCTTCCTGCTGGAGCCGTCTGTAATCCCACATAGCCATCACCTGAGCAGTTGTTTTACGTTCCACCAGCAAGGATAGACTTTTAGAAATAGGTTTAACAAACAGGTAAAATACATGGGAGAAAAATACATCCTGCAGCTACTAATCCCACCAGGCCAAAAATGGCCTGCAGGCCAGGTAACTCTGGCCACCATCCTGAAAACATATCCTGTAAATTAAGGCTTTTCCAAGTCTGGACTGGCACATGAGCTATTTTAACCATTTTGTCTGTTATTTCCTTAATAACTTCCGCCTTCATCAATTTCTATGCAGCAATTAGTCAAATTGAACTTTCCACATATCCAGTATAGTCCCTCAGGAGCCAGCCATTCAAGGGTCTGATTATCTGGATCCTTTAAAAAGGATAACCCATTTACCTTAAACAGAGCCATTTCATCAGTTCCCTCTGTGGCCTTGCTTCCTGACCACCATACCTTACTTTCCCATTTGCCTGTACATATGAGGCTTCCTACCTGATGACAGCCTGCCACAATTTTTCCCTGAAAACACACATTCCCTACCAGACTAGTAGTCAATGTCCAGTCTCCATCCTTACCCTTATTATATGACAGGTTACCTTTCTGATCCATTTCTAATATTATGGAATTGTTCAATTCTTGGGCCTCCCATGGCCATTTTTCTCCCATGTTAGTTCCTCCACATACAAAACAATTTGATACACTCAGAGTGTGGGCTATGTCTTCTGCCAATTTGACAAAGATATTTGTTACATAGCTAGGGATTTCGGGTATATTCAGCTTTTTCATTTTCAGATAATATTACAAGGGGATCTCTTCAGTATTTATTACCAAATAATGTACTAACACCTCCTCTATAATTTTCACGTCACACTCTACCTTACAGCTTATACATAAAACACAATCAATACAGTGAGTGCAACAACAACCTTCACACCCACAATTACAAAACAAACACATTTAAAGAGAATTCTCTTTTCTGTTCCTTTGCATCAAAAGGTAGCTTCCAGGGTGTCCTAAGCAGGGACTTCTTTCATTTGTAAGAGGTTCACACTCCGCAGCCGGTTGGGGAGATATTAGGGATCGGAACGGCTGAGAAATCAAATGGGCCCTGGTTGTCCATTGCTTATATCTGTAACACAATGATCAATAAAGCTACTATCCCAATTACTCAAAGTGCCCACACCCAATTTTCCTCCCACATGGATCCGCAATGATCTTCAATCTCTCGTCAGGATCCAAGTTCCGGACTAATTCAAGAGAGCAGGTGCTCCATCCTCTTTTTAGCTTACAGCGGGTTACATTGGCAGATATACATCAAGGTAACCTATATATAAAATACAAAAACTTTCTTTAAACACATTCAAATGTCAGTTTCGTTGGATGTTGTTTGTCCACGGACACTTTCCAGCCAGTGTCAGCTGCTGCCTTGACTCGTGTCCGATGGATCCATGATTTTGATTCTGCAAACTTAATAGCAAGTGGAGAAGTCATAATACCAATAAAAGATCCCTTCCATCTTCCACTTGGTCCCCAGATTCAAATGAGTGACATTAAGTTACTAATCTAGGGGGTACTTGTTCCATCACATATTGTTGGAATCTCTCAATTTGCTTATTAAGTTCTTGTACCATCTCCATATTCCAACACCCCACCCCCCTTTATGACCTAAATCAGGCCACCTAACATACATATTTACCTTATTTTACCATATTTACATGGTCGGGTGGAATAAACCTCCAATACCTGTAAACAATCATGCTTAGAAACAGACTCCGTAGGCAACAAAGTTGCTGGATTTAATCGGTTAGACACCACCAGACGCACCTGTGGATTCTCACTCCTAATTGCCTGATATTTTGTCAACCTTTGCCCACTAATCCACAAATGTCCCTTAATATTCAACACAGACTGCTCCTCGTGAGGGGAATGCATAAGTATAGGACAAGAAAAAGTGAGTTTATTACAACTCTGAATCAATTCTGCACTTGCAACCAGCACCTTCAAACAGTGGGGCCAGCTTTTTGACCCCCCCCATCCAATTGTTTTGACAAATAGGCTCCAGATTGTTGCCAACTTCCCAAAGGCTGGGTAAGTACCCAGCAATATTTCTATTAGTGTTTATGTACAAATTCAAAGGCAAGTTCGATAAAGCCAGAGCTTTTTCTGTTCCCCCCCCCCTTTCCACTCAAGGGGTTTCACATTGGCTCCTTTGGTGGCTGCATACAAAAGTGCTGCCATCAAAGCAAAGTTAGGGATCCAATTACGGCAAAAGCCAGCTAATCCTAAAAAGCTTCTCAGTTGTCTTTTCGTTCGGGGTTCTGCCAGCATTAGGGCCGCCCTTTTCCGCTCTGGTCCTAAAGCTCGACAACCCTTATATCGTATCCCAAATATCTAACTTTCCTTTTCACCAATTGAGCTTTCTTTCTTGATACCCAATAACCACACTCTAATAACGAATCTAGCATTATCGTGCATTCATCTTAGTATTATCCCAACATAAATCCTCTGTCAGTCCTGTTGATCCAAACATCATCAACATATTACAGTATTGTGTCTCCTGGTTGTTGAGGCACATAATACTGCAAGTGTCTAGCTACCGCTGTTCCAAACAATGTGGGGGAGGTCTTAAATCCCTGAGGCAGCCGAGTCCCAATATATTGCATTTTCATTCCTGTATAAGGATTCTCCCGCTCAAAATGCAAACAGTGGCTGGCTTACGGGGTGAATGGGAATTGTAAAGAATGCATCCCTTAAATCAATAACAGAAAACCACTCAGCCCGGGGTGGAATTAAACTTAACAGGGTATATGGATTCGACACGGCCAGGTGTAAAGTTACCGTGCCCCGGGAGGTAAGACCCATCTGACTGTTTAATTGGGATAATTGAAGTATTCCAGGAGGACTAAATAGGCACCAAAACCCCCGCTTCCAAATCTCTGAATGCTTTCATAAATAGCACAAATAGCTTCCCAAGAAACGGGACGCTGCCTTATACTCCCAGACGCCACTCCAGGTTTTAGTTCCACCACCACTGGAGGGTGGTGAGCTGCAAAACCCGGCAGGTTATCCTTAGGCACATCAAACAACCTCCACTTCTCCTCCGGAGAATGCCTTATGGTCATTCTCTGACTATCTTCATCAAAAGAAATTGTTGCCTCTAATTTACTCAGCAGATCCCTGCCTAGCAACGGAATAGGGCATTCAGGGATATACAAGAATTCATGCTGGATTTCAGCTCCCTTAAAATCACACATCTCTGGTTCCAAGACCTGCCACCCCATGCCTTGCCCTGATACCCCCTGGACCTGAATTTTATGGGATCCGGGGGGGCTGCAATCTGCTTATTTACAACTGATCTTCCTGCTCCGATATCTACCAGAAATGTTCTGTACTGACCCCCTATTTTCATTGTAACCAATGACTCAGGCGGGGGTTCTTCCAAGCCTGGTCCCCCTCAATCTGACCAAGTCATGTCTGCCAATCCAATACTTTCCGCTTTCTGCTGCCCTGCGCCCTCTCCAAATCCTCTACCAAACCCCAACCTGAACTTGTCTGTCCAACCTTCTACTCAAACCTCTCCTCTATCCTCGTTCTCCCCTTCTCCCAGAGAGCTGCCTACGCATCCCTGACCCAAAATCCGCTCTTCTCATCCCTCTACTTCTCACCATCTGTCTTGGGCATTCCTTTTCCCCTTATACATTAATTAGGACCCAGGGGTAAATTCTGAGAAAAACCCCCTTGCATCCCACTTTGCAGCGCCCCCGCCAACAAACCAGCCTTTTTATTCATCCATGCCTCCTGCTCTTTCTTCTCCACCTACAGCCCCCACAGCCTCCAAATCATTATCATCATCATCATCCCCCTCTCCCTCACTCTAACTGCTACCTCTAGGCAAATGACTCTCCTTGACTTTTGACTTCGCGTCAAGACCACTCATACACCTCTGATTTCCTCCTCCGCTCCCTCCAGCAGCCCCCTCACTTTTCCTGCCTGCTCAGATACACATAACCCGACCGTTTCAGCCTGACATTGCAATAAATCCTCAGCTTTTTTCTGTTAGGGCTCTCACCCATTGATCAATATATTAAAATTGATCAGGATATTTATCCTGATTCACTACAATCACCCCCCCCACAACTTATCCACTGTTTCTTCCCTTAACAATCCCTGAGGGGGGGAGTGGTCAGCCCGTCTCCCTTTGTGGCCACACATATTTACATAAGAATTTTAATTGATCCTTTGATCCTTTCGGATAGGAAGGGTTGCTAAAATACTTGTCAAAACCTTTTAATATGCATGCCAACGGAGTATTTGGCACACTCTGAGCCTCTCCCATTCTATCACACTGCCATCGACTCATAGCCCCGGAAACTCACGGCCACTAGCGAGAAATGTGACGGCTTAATCACCCACACAACCTGACACGGACTTCGTTAGGGTAATCACCCCGAGTTCAAGGGAGTGATCAGGTCCCTTCTTCTGCCTTCAAATGAGGCAGGTACAATTCTTTTACAATATGCTCACTTAAAACGCTCCCACTCCATAGATTCCTGGCCAGGAATTTGTTCAGACCATCTTTCCTTCACCGCAGGGTTCTTGGACTCGATCAGAGCTCCGTCGGTCCCATAGGGCTATCGCTGCTGTCTCCCGGAGATTTTATCCCCGCGGCGCCTGGAGAATGTTCAGGAGCAACTTCCCGATGGTCCCGAGGGGTCGAAACGGCCCTCAGCGAAATATCGCCTCGCACCTAGTCCCAGCGGAGTCGCCAGCTGTTATAGGAGAAATGACGGAACTAGGCCAAGCTCTTCAATGCAGGAAAGAGTTTATAGCGCAAGGTTCAAACAGTCCAAAGACAGCAAAGGGTCTGAACAATGATGGCTGCTTTTGGCTCGATATTTATACAGTATAAAGGCAAAGTTATTACGAAGAGTGAGACATTTCACACATAGAGGTTACCCTTTAATCTATCTCTAGGAAAGACATAACAGCCCTTTTCCCACAGGCTCAGGTTCTCAGCTCCGGAGCTCAAGACATAATAAAGAGGAGATAAAGGGCTCAAAGGCGCCTCAAGAGCAGTAAAGAGGACAGTAAGGGAAGCAGTATTTCTTCTCTAAGATATACATGACATTTGGGGTGTAATAAACATTAAACAACAGGATGTATCTGTTTAGGGTCAGTTTGCCCTTTTACAATTCTGTACCTACGTCAAATACCGTCTGCCATCTCAGCACCTTGGCACGGAAGAGGCACTTCTGTCTTGACCAAAGATTTGGATTTCTAATATTTGAGTTTTATCCCAATATCGAATCTTAGCCTGGCTCAATAACACTTATGTCCAAAAGGCTTTAAAGTTACAGGAAATTATTATAATAAAATAGAACTTGCTTACATTAGCTTAGCTTCCCAAAGAATTGTGACATAGTAGTATTTACCTGTTAGTTTAGTTTCCCCCAAAAATTATTGTGACATCCTTGGGTTTATTTAAGTTAGCTCAGCTTCCCAAAAAACTATAGGCTCAGGTTACAGTTGTATTGATCTGGTCAGTCATGCTACTTTAGAGACAATGGGTGTCTTTTTATCAACTTTGATTGAATCAACAATTGCATTCTTACCTTGAAGAGAAAGACCTGGTTTTATGGCTAATTATTGGTTTGTAATAGCCCTCAAAGATGTTCACAAATTATATCTCATCCAATAAGGGCAAAAAACATTTTGTGAATTTATTGGTTGTCTTCTGAGCCCCATTCAAGGTGCTTGCATTCAGGACCAAGCTACTTACAAACTCCCATTTAGTCTGCCCTGCATTCTTAGATCATCCGTAAAGACTCTAGCAGATTCTACCTTGTTCTTCTTGCTATGTAAAATTACTTTTGTCTTCCTCCATATTGTGGATTCCACACACACACACACACACACACACACACACACACACACACACAATTTAGCCTTTTTACTATTTAGAAAATTGAGTGCATTTTTGTTGTTCAACCTACCTTGTTTTGTTTAAAGGTGTGTTGCAGAATACTGTTTTAAGGTTTGCTTTAATTCTGTGAGCTGTTAAGGACTGGGCATCATGGAAATCTTCTAAAATTAAAAAATATATATTAATAAGTATTATAAAACCCTTACACTGTGAGCTATAAATACCATAAACTATTGAATACCATAAATGCAGATATATAGATATATTTTCCAAATGTACCATCAGAATCTAAGACTTAAGATGCTAGCATAACTTACGAACTTTGCCCAGAAGTTGAGCATAGTCATCATTGTTTTTCAAACAGACATCATTTACGGGAGAGTGATGTAACACTTTGGGACCCCCTCTTTTCTCGGCATCTCACTCATTCTGGCCTCTGATTGGAAGTATTATTTTTACTCTCGAGGTGAACTGAGCAACCTCACGGCGCTGCGAAAGCATTAAGGGAATATTGCTCGAGGAAGTGTATCTAAATCGTCGTTAGGTCTGCCAGGAGAAGGACTCTCGCCCGGCTTTTCCCAGAAAAGATGCCCGCTGTAAAGCTCTAAAAAGCCCGGAGAACCCCTCCAATCGGTCATCCCCTGACCGCAGCAGTACCGGCGGAGCTCGCAAGGGGGCTCTGTGGGCCAGCGCGAGAAGACGCGACTTTTTCGAAAGCGACCTCCCTGCCTCCACTGCCCTACGTGGAAGCCGAAGCCTTTCAATTCTGGAAGAAGCGCGGTAGAGTCACGTCCGGTGGAAGCGGGGAGTTGAGAGTTATCCAGCACCGCGTGTTCAGGTACCGGAGGAAGGGCTCGGGGCAGTCATTTGTTGAGGCCAGGCTTCCCAGGTCCTGCCATAAGGCTCCCGAGTTTATTTCAACTTCTGATCATTTTCTGAACAAATCCGGCCGCTGATCTCGGCAACAGCACGGCAAAGCTTGCTTCGTCTGGGATGTCGGTTCAGCTCTTTAGGCTAACCCACAGCCCTGGGATTTCCTGCCCAAGGACTAAGTAGATCTGACACATTGGCCCAGAAGAATAAGAGCAGGTTGGTGGCCATGGCTCATCTTGATAAGACAGCAGGAGTCCTTGGATGTGGGACACCCAGGAAACCCCTCGTATTTAACCTTTTTAGCCTAAGTAATGACTCGTAATTTTAAGCAGACTGCTCAGAACCCCCACAGTTTAGAAGAACAAATGAGCATTGGTGGCTCATTGGAAGGCTTCCCATAGATTGCCTCTGCTATGGGGGAAGTTCAGGAATATTTGTACAAGTTTTGTATTTCTAGGATCCTGTGTAGCTTTGGAAAGCAGGAAAATATTATTTGGAAGTAAGGAGCCATCAATTCAAATTTGTTTACAAACTGAGCCCAAATCTCTCTTAAATAAAGAATAAATTGCTCTCAAATCTCTCTTAAATAAAGAAATTGCTTTTGAGGAGTGTTTCTGAAGAAATATATTTTATACCTTATGCACAAATAGGAGGTACTGTCATTGCAGTTGGCTTTTGGGGGAGCCACAAGTTCATGTTTACACAAACCCAGTAACTTGCTCTGTTTTGTCATACTGGTGTTACGCTTTATTTTTCCATTTATAGAGGCAAACAGAAATGGCAAAAAGCCTAAGGAGCAAATGGAAAAGAAAAATGCGAGCGGAGAAGAGAAAGAAAAATGCTCCCAAGGAACTGGCCAGGTTGCAGAGCATTCTGAAAGCCAACAGTGATGTTGTAATGGATGAAGTGAAGGAAGTAGTAACTGTGGTTCCTGCTGAGAAAATCTTAGAGAAAAAGGATTCAGATGGTGAGTCATATTATTCTTAGGTATGGCTCCAAAGCAAAGTTTCCTAATCTGGGCAATTTGCAGATGTGTTATCTCTAATCCGAGAATTCTCTATCCAGCATAGATATTGCTGAGAGTTCTGGGAGTTAGTGCACGGGTCTAGAAGTTGCTTAGACTGGGAGACATTGTTCTAAGATTTGCAACAAACAGGCTCTGAAAAATTTGAATTATGGTATTGTATATCCGTCACCTGATACTGCTCTGTTTTCATTCTTTTGGGGCTGCTTTTTCTCATATTTCCCTTGGCTATGTAAATCTTCCCTTTAAAAAAAATCATCTAATACCACCATATAGATGAGATTGCTCCTGTGAGTTGATAGTGCAGAAATAGGTTATGTTATGTGTCTATCTTATTTATCCATTGAAATAGGTTATGTTATGTGTCTATCTTATTTATCCATTGAAGATCTCCTAGCAAAAGTTTGGCTAACTGGAAATTCTGAGAGTTGAAGAACAATGCTGTTAATGAAAATAAGGTGGAAGGAGTTTATGAGGATGACCTGTGGGACTGGTACCTATTCTTTTGAAGATAGACAGTGGAAAGCAAAGAGGGAAACATTGTAAATTATAATCAGAATCATCTTTTCACTTGGCTGTTTCTCAATAAATAATAAATATTTTTTTTCCAAAGAAAGACTATCCTAACTAACAAATTTGAAACTGTTTTTAAAAACCATCATAGTGCAAGCATACATGTGCTCGTAGTCCCTCATTTCTTAGTTCTTCACTCTATCAGTTTTAGAATAATTTATGGTTTATTCCAATAGTTTCTTTTTTATTCACTTTTAAGTCTACTATTTTCAGGTGATAATAGCATTTATTTCTTTATGTGTTTTTTCCCCTAGATGGAAGTAAGATGGACATGGATGTTAAAAGAAATCAGAAAACTCTTCTAGATCAACATGGACAATATCCAGTATGGATGAATCCCAGGCAGAGAAAAAAGCTAAAGACAAAACGTGTCAAAGGAAAAAATAAGTCTAAAGCACCAAAAGGATTAACCTGGTAGACTCTGGTAAATGTTAAAAAATAAAGGGTGGGGTGGGGTGGAGAACTTAATGGTTTATGTCATCAGTCCTAAGGGTAATTTTTTTCTTGTTTCAGATGTTCAGGCTCATTTAATAAAGTTCCAAATATCTTTGTACAAACAGGACTATAATTTTGCTAGAATTAAACAGTTACCATCCAATGGCAACCAAATTTCTATCAAATGCTATAAAATTTAGTTGTTTTAGCTTTACAGAAAAGCAAATGTGTTAATCAGGTGTAGCAAAAAAAAACCAGCTGAGTTTTCAAGGTCTTAAAAAAAGAATCCTTTTTTAGAGTAAAATATCATGAATCAGTCTTTATCATGAATCAGTCTTTATAAGTTTGGTCACTAGTAAATCTTTAATGATCTACAAGATTCTTGCTCATTCATTTCAATGAAACTTCAGATTTCAGTTCCAACTGATGGTTGAATTATTCTCAACAGAACTAAATACTTCAGTTTTGAGTCTATTGCAACAATTTCAAATGTATCTGGCAGAAATATACTTATTTTGTTCTCATTTCTCATTCTTAAATATCTTTTAAAATCTGTTAATATTTAATTTAATATCTAATATTAATAAAGCCAAAGTCAACATATTAGGGCATTGAAGTGTTAATAATAAATAAATAGCTTTGGAATATCCCCTGATTTTCAGGGGGAAGTTTTGTGTAATGTATATAGTATGGCCAAATATAAGTATATGTCCTCAAGTTCTGTTTTGTTCTGGCTTAGCAATAATGGGATACATCTGGGTCTTTATTTTTCCTTTCAAAAGGATAAGACTAAGTGCAATCTCATGCATTTTTTCCTGAAGGGACATCCTTGGAGAATTCAGCGTAGTGTGTTTTTGAGCAGAGTTGCACAGGGCTATTTTGTAACATCATAGTTCTGTACAAATGTACAGGTGGGGGTGAAGTCTAGCCAATTTAACTGGAATTACAAATAAGCTTAATATTGGAGTATAAAGTGTTTAGATTTTAAAGGAGAGATTTCAGATTTACTTAGATAATATTGGTGTGTTTACTACTAATTTTGAAAAAAATATAATGTTAAATGTAATTGAGTTTTATTACATTATGGAATGGCTCTGTTTCTGTATAAACAATAGTTTCTGAAATAGGTTTTACACTTAGAGTTAGCGATATAAATAGAACTAAAGAATGTTTTATAAAATTCTTCTAAAAACCCTCCAAACATAGAGCAGGGAAGACCTGAAGCTGTTGAATATAGTATGATTGGCATAGTTCCACTCTTTTTGGCTACATGGGGATATTTTCCACATTCTGACATTTAATTAATAAAATTTTATTAATTGAATTTATATAGCTGCCCATCTTACCGAGGCAACTCTGGGCAGCACAAAACAATAGAAAAAAAATATAAAAACAAGGAATGCAAATTTTAAGAAGCCCCAGTAATAAATATCTTTAAAAAACTCAAAATATAATACAAGTAGTCCTCGTACTACAATTGATCCTCAATTTTTTGTTGCTAAACGAAACATTTGTTAAGTGAATTTTGCCCATTTTATGATCATTCTTGCCACAGTTGTTAAGTGAATCTGGCCTTCCCATTGACTTTGCTTGTCAGAAGGTCAGAAAAGGTGCTCACGTAACCCTGGGATATTGCAATCATCATAAATATGAATCGGTTGCCAAGTGTCTGAATTTTTATTTATTTATTTATTTATTTAAATTTTTATACCGCCCTTCTCCCGAGGGACTCAGGGTGGTGCACAGCCGCAATAAAACACACATGACGGGGGTGCAGCAATGGTTATAAATGTGAAAAACGGTCATAAGTCACTTTTTTCAGTGCCGTTGTAACTTTAAACGGTCACAAGATGTACTGTTGTAAGGAGGGGACTCCTTACAACAGTGCGGAGTGTACACTTGACTACCTGAAATGTACAACAGTGTACATTACAGGTAGTCAAGGACTACCTGTAATGTACAATCTTATAATTTCAATACTTTTAGGTACATGCTGGGAAGTGTTCTTACATCCCAAAACAAATAATATTGCTCTATTTAAATAATCAGAAATTACCAGGAGTTCCATTTAAATCAAGAGTATTTTTTGTCTCTGGGCCACACTGGGGCAAGAGTGGCGTTTTGAGGGATGCAATTAAAAATGAGCAGTCAGTAGCAAGCTCCATTCTTACTTAAAAATATATAGGAGATAGAGTTGAAAAAAAAATGCCTCCACTTCCATAACTTTAAGTAGAGATGATTTAAAATATGAAACAAGAAAATAATTATTGACATAGCTCTTTTGATACCTGCACGTACTTTGTGTAAACACCACCATTCACTACACATTTCTGGTAATGATGCAGGAATTTCTGAAAGGCATTAATAAAGAAGTCCACACATAATCTCTTCAACCAGATCTTGACACTGCTTTCCACCTTTTTATTTGAGCTAAACAGATGTCCACAAAAACATTCCTTCAATTTGGGAAAGGTAGTTGTACGGTGCCATATATGGACTGGATGGTGCATGTGGTAAGACAGTGAGATCCAACTTCACAAAGGCCTCATGGGTAGTTGTGAAATGTGATACCTAGCATTGTCATGTTGCAGCAAAATTTCCTTCTTTCTTCCAAATGTTTCAGAGTTCAGAGTGTTGAATTGGTAATGATACCAGAGTCAAAGAAATCCATGGTACTATCTGCATATATAAAAAAAACCTACAACCATGAGCTTTTGTGATGAAACCTAGGTCTTTTTTTTTCTCATAAATGAAACTTTATAATTATATTCCATGGATTGATGTTTTGCTCATAATGATGCCAAATATTGTCTTCATCATAATGCTGTTAATAAATTCATCACTTTCAGTCTGATAGTGTGATAAGAATTGCTGGCAGAGTTGAACTCTTGAATCTTTCATCTCTGATCAGCATACAAGAAACCCATCTTGCTCAAGCTTTCCAATATTGGAGAACAATAATGTGTCCTGCATGTTTCTGTAAATGCCAAGCTTAAAAGCAATTTCCTTTCGGCTGCTTGTCTTTAATTGGTTCAACCTTTCTGATGTGAAACATGTTGGTTGCTGTTATAGGTTTGTCATCACTTCATCCTTGATCACACAAATCAGCACTTCCCAATTAACTGTCTTTACATTTCTTGGCCCAGTGATGCACAATACTCATAGCAACAATCAGAACTTCAGCAACCAACATTTGGCAATGAATTTCATCCTGAAGGACTCCTTTTGGAAGTAAAAAAAAAAAAAAAACCAAATGATGGTACATTGTGTAAAGTGCGCTGATCAGTATTCATTCTAGCTTCCATTTCACAAATAATAGCAACACAACCTTTTCTCACAACTTCCCATCAATGAAGTGAAATGGCAGATGCTAAAGAATACAGCAGAGTTTCTACCAGTAGTTTGTCAGAATTGCTATCTGTTAGTTTCTTATAAAATAGGATGTATTACTTTTAATTCAACTTCTTTTGGTCTGTGTAGTCTATTTAACATTTGGGGATCAGCCAAGGATTCTAGCTACTGTTACAATAATGCATCACAACTTTGTTTTAATTCTGTACATGTCCTGAGAAAGTTGTTAGGTTGCATACTTTTATGATTGCAGTTGGATAAGAAGTTCATCTTTGAGTTTATTTCTCACCAAATGAATTGCAGTAAACTTGTATGACTAATAGGTTTACAGAGCAGACAGCAATTTTAATATTTCAAGGATTCCCCAATAAAATATATCATAGATTTCTGTCAGTCAGGCTGAATTTCTTGATGCACTCTAGTCTGTCCAGCTGGGAAGATTTGGCTCATTTTTACTGATCTCTTCTCAATTTAGTCCAGCCCTATGCAAAAAATAAAAAGGAAGGCCTTTTTAATTTCCTGCCCAAAGTATAGGAATATAGACTTTAACAAAGTTTATGCGTCATTCCAGGGTTCCTTTTGGTAGACAGACGGAAATATAAACTTGTTTATTATTAAACAAGTTTTAATTTGTTAAAATTAAATTAATTTGTTAATTTATATATTAAATAAAACTTGCTCCAGCTCTGAAAAAAAGTTAGAAAAGTTTTTAATGAGAAATTATCTTAGTAAATCAACAAAGCCAGTTTATTGGAAAGAGAAGTACCAGAAAAAGAAAGAAAGACAATAACAAAGAGAATTCCAGTAAAAGCTATATAGTCAGCCACATTAAATGAATTGCTTATTATTCACTTGTCAGAACATTTGAGTTGTTCGGAGTTATTTGAGGAGAATAGTTGGAAAGGTCATCAGTATCTCCAAATTGTTCCTTTCTAACTCTCAGTTTTATGGTAATTGGAGGATGTTTCAAAATCACTAATTTTGCTATTTGTTGCAAATTTATGTTCCTTATTATTAAGGATTGAGAATTTATTTGAAAAATTAAATATAAATTCCTTTCATTTGACCTTCATCTTAGCAGATTCTTAAAGGGGTACTCTTCTATTATATCAAAATAGAACAGAATATCGGAAGACTAACTGGAATTTTGGGCCCTGTCAATTATTGTGATAAACAGAAACCACTTAAATGCTTCTGTTGTTACTATTTATGTTGTTAGTATGGCACAAAGCATGGCTCAACTGATACTTTCATAACATTTTTACAGTTGAAATAAATGCATCCATGGCTTTAATGGGAAGTGGACTTTAAAGAGGATTTCCCTTGGATTAATGGGAAGAGGATTTTAAATGTTTCTCTTCCTATTTCTTCACGTTCTTACATTTTGAAACCAAAATATGCAGAGCTAAAGTTGCTTGAAGGGAATTTAATTTTTCTCCTTTAGGACACTAGTTCAAATGGACCCCAATAATGAAATGTGATTAACTTCTGATGACGCTTCAGTTAATAATTCAGCAGCACTTGGGGGTCTCCATTTAGTTTCCTGCCAATTGTTACCCAGGACTTAACTGACACTAATCTGAATTTTTATTGGCATCCAGAAGGAAGTTCAAAGTGATTGACTTCTTTCTCTAAAAA